ATATGTATGTTAAAGTTATATTATATATATATATATATATATGATATATACTGTATATTATAAATGTTGAATTACTGTTGAAGGTCTTTAACTAAAATTTTGTTTTATATATATATTATTTATATCAATCAAAATATATATAATATATATATATACTGTATATATGAATAAAAAAATAAAATTATTATACATTTATATATATATACCCATAGAGTCTCAATTAATATCATATTTGCTCTAAATATCTAAACAACGATAATATCATTTATATATATATAAAAAACTTATATTATATACAATTAATAATAATAATAATAATAATCATATCATATATAGTTTTTTGTCGCATTTAATATCTTAACAACAAAATATAAAAACTATTCACACAATAATTATTACTGTATTAATATGTAGTAGTTTTTTATATAAGTAAGTATTTTTGATATATATTAAGTGTATATATGATATCAGTTTATATATATATACGTAAAAAAATGTTTAGTTTATATTATAATATATATATATATACAGTGAATATCATATAATAATAAATAATGTTTTTTTTGAAACAAAATCAAAAAACAATTATATGAATCATGTTTTAAACATGTGATATGTTTTAAATAATAATAATAATAATAATAATAATAATTGCTATTATTTTATTTTTCATTATTAATATTATTATTATAAAATAGTTTGATAATTGATTACATCAACAACAAAAATAATTGACATTCAATATAAAAACTAACTAATATTATATATATATACTAAATAATAATAATAATCACTAAATAATTGTTACACATTTTTTTTAATTAAAAAATTAAAATATTATTATTATAATTATGAATTTTTTATTAAATAATATATCACTTATTAGTATTTATAATAATAATATTAGTGTTAATAATAATAATAATAATAATAAAATTTATAACTACTGTTATAATAATAATAATAACATTACTAATAAAAATGAAAATTTATTTTGCTATAAATATTTTCATATTATTTAATATGATTTTATTCAACAATTTATTATTAGTTAATAGTTTTCAATCAAATATTTTTACTAATAAATTAAATAATGATACAAAACTTTTATTCAATTTATATCGCAAACCTATTTATTCAATTTCAATGATAACTACATTAATGGCAACAAATACAGGTTTATTGGACGCACCGGTAGTACAGGACTATAGATCGGCCGATATTTCGGTGAATATAACCAATCAGACAGTTATCGGTCAACTAGACTATAGTTTAGCGGCTAATCTACTGGTCTGGAGGGTACAGGAGCCGGATAATGCCATCTATGTTGCACCTATTGATCCCAGGTATTATAAATATAATATATACAGTAATTAATTAATTATAACTATTTATATCTATAGTTATAAATAGTTATTTAAAAAAATATAAAAAAAAAATTAAATTCAATTATTTCTATTTTTTTAATATATAAATATATTAATTTTTAAAAATTTTACATTTTTGGTTATCTAATTAGGCATACTAATAATTGATTTATTATTTATATTTTTTATAAAAAAAATAAATTAAACATATAATAGTATTAAATACTTTTATATATATATAAAAAATTCTTAATTATTATATTTTTTAGTTATTTTAAAAAAATATTTAATAAATTATTATTAAAATTATTATTTATTTTAATCAAAAATAATTTTTTTAAATATTGATATCATATTAAATATGAAACTCTCTCTCTCTCTCTCTCTCTCTCTCTCTCTCTCTCTCTCTCTCTCTCTCTCTCTCTCTCTCTCTCTCTCTCTCTCTCTCTTATAATTAACTATTTATACAAAAAAAAATTTAATTCAATTAAAAACATATTTGTTTCTAACAATTATATTGTTATATATATAAGTGGCGGCAATATATTGGGAATCAATAGCCAATCGGCCAAAAGCCAGGACAGTAGGACCGGCCAGTTGTTGGTACGGCTCAGCCGATCCCAGTCGACCCGATTGTCAATCGATTGGATACACCAGCTATGCTACTATAACCTCAATGACAAGATCGTTGTGTTCAACCTAACCGACCCTAAACTGGCCAACGGTTATGTAGTGGTCAACGAAATGTTTTATCATACTGTCCACGATCTGGTAGTCGACCCGCGCGAGTCCTTACTATTCTGGTCAGTATCGGACAACAGTTTCGATGATAATAAAACCGGACGATTGATGCGGTCGGGTCAGGACGGCAGCAATAGTCGGGCGCTGGTCGGTCCGGGACCCGAAGTTAAGGAACCGCTGGTTATGGCCATCGACGGCTGGCCGGGCGGTGAACGGCGGGTCTATTGGATCGATAGGTATTTGTTTCGATTTTTTTCGGTCGACTACGACGGCCACGGGTTGCGTCGGATACTGGAGTCGCGCGAGTTGTTTACACTGTCAAAGTTTATGGTCGTCTACGGCGACGATATTTTATGGTCAAACTATTATCATTCGTCGGTATTGATGACCAACAAGTTTGGCCGGAATGGCAGCCAAATCCGTTATCTGGTCAAAGGTCAACAGTCGGTTGAAGTCGAAGCCGTTAGGATTCTAGATAGCCGACTGCAGCCAACGGTCGAGGCCAGTGACCGATGCCGTCGGCATCGGTGCCAGTATTTGTGTTTACCGATAGCCGATTCAGCCGATAGTGATGGTCACCATCAGTATCGGTGTGTTTGTCCGCAAATCAATCTAAGCAATCGTCTCTATCCTACTAATCATAACAATTGTACGGAATCTGTAAGTATTTTAATTAAATTGTTTTTTTTAATTATTTAATTATTATATAATTATAATATAATAATTATTATAATATTTAAATTAAATAAATATATAATTATAATATATTATAATTAATTTTTTTATTTAAAAAATTTTTTATTATAGTTTTTTTAATGATTAATTGAATATTTCAAAAAAATACTTTTAGTTTATTTTCAACAACAAAAAAAAGTTTATTAATATATTATTATTGAAATTTTTTTTAAATTAATAATTTAATATTTTGTTTAATATTTTTTATATAAGTTAGTGATTAATTTGTAAGCAATTGGTTGCTATGTAAGAGAGAGAGAGAGAGAGAGAGAGAGAGAGAGAGAGAGAGAGAGAGAGAGAGAGAGAGAGAGAGACAGAGAGAGAGAGAGAGAGAGAGAGAGAGAGAGAGAGAGAGAGAGAGAGAGAAATTTAATATATTTTTTCTCATTTAAAAAATTTATAGATGACTCACACTTTTTTTAAAAAATGATTAACTAATAATAATAATAATAATATTAAATAATAATCAATTAATTTTTTTTCGTTGAAATTTGAATAAACATTTAATGTATTTATTTTAATTTTAATTATCACTTTATTCAATACAGTAATTAATATTATTATTATTATTATAAATAATTATGAAAATAATTTATATATATAACTAGTATATTATGTCTACTAATTATATCATATTATTATTATTATTATTTTATTTACAGATTCACACTGTTATTAATTTAGATGATATAAAACCCAGTGAAACAACAAATAGTAATGTAAGTCAAAAAATAAAATAATTATTATTAAAAAATAAATTTTTTATATATTTATATTTTTTATAAAACAATTAATCAAAAAAAAAATTAATTATTCTTATATAGAGTTATCGTTTGCAATCGTCAACTGAATTATCATTGAATACAACAACACATATCTCATGTAATAATAATAATAATAATAATAATAATAATAATAATAATAATAATAATACAAATAATTTAACAAAAAATACATATTTATTAACACAATTAAATCATCGACAAAAACCAATTGTCTTATACATTGTGGTTATCATATCATTGATACTAAATTTTTTGCTAATATTTCTACTAATCTACTGTTTATATAGATTGAAAAAACGGTAATAAAATTACTTTTAAAAAAAATTAGTTTTAGTATTAAATAATTTTAATTTTATCATTTGATAGCAAATCAGATACAAGTCATTCATCATCATTGAGATCCAGTCGACATCATAACCGACATAATCAACAACACCTACGGCTGGCACTGCCATACAGTCGACAGAGCCCTCCTTCACCTCCCAGTGTTGGCTCCGATATTGAATTGATTACAAGTGAAACCTATCATCTGATTAATACAAATCCATTGATATCATCGACAACTGATGGCATGTTTTTATCGATGGACTTACAAAATAATCCTATATTTGATTCATCATCGGTAGAGAGTATACATAAAAATTGTTGAATAATTTTTTTTTATTAAAAAAATTAATTTTTTTTAATTAGTTATAGTGTATAATAATGTTTTATTTTTGACAAACTGTTTTTATTTGGTTATTATTGTTATTATAAAATAATTTTTTTTTAAAAATAATTACTGAGAATATAAATACATATCAACTAAATGTTTATATATATACTGTATATGATTGTATAAATAATTTTTATTATAATAATAACATTTCAATGTACAGTAGTAGTAGTAGTAGTTTATAAATATATATATTGTTTTTATTAAAAAAATACTAAATATTATTAGATAAACTAAAATATTAATAAAATAATTTTTGTGTACTTTTAAAATAATAAATTTTATTGTAAAAATTATATAATAGTAATATATTGTATTTTTAAAAAAAATTAAAATACTGTTATACAAGATAAATTTAGTGCAATATTTTTATTACATAATTTTTTTTTTTTAAATATATAAATATAACATAAATAATAATTTTCAAAAAAATAACATTCAATTACAAGCCATTAAGTAATTGTTATATTACCTGAATATAACAATTTTTATTTTTTAATAAATAAAACACTTATAATTACATAAATAAATTTATATATAATATTCAAACAAATTAAACTTTATTTTCTAAATTTTTTTAAAAAATAATAATTTTTAGATTAATCTCTCTCTCTCTCTCTCTCTCTCTCTCTCTCTCTCTCTCTCTCTCTCTCTCTCTCTCTCTACTAATTCACTTATTAATTACATACTAACTGATTGACTAACTAACTAACTAAACTCAAAATTATTTATAATATACAGTACAGTGCACTTACACATACATATATTCACAAATAAATACAAACACATATACAAACACATATACAAACACATATACAAACACATATACAAACACATATACAAACACATATACAAACACATATACAAACACATATACAAACACATATACAAACACATATACAAACACATATACAAACACATATACAAACACATATATAAACACATATATAAACACATATACAAACACATATACAAACACACATATACAAACACACATACACACACATACACACACACATACACACACATACACACACATACACACACATACACACACATACACACACATACACACACATCACACACATCACACACATACACACACATACACACACATACACACACATACACACACATACACACACATACACACACATACACACACATACACACACATACACACACATACACACACATACACACACACATACATATCATTACACACATACAAACACACATACAATAAAGTTTATAAACATAAAATAATAACTACTAGAAAAATTTATTTTTAATAAATAAAATTAAAATTAATTAGCAATTTATATGATTTAGCGGCACATAAGTTAACAGAGGCGGCCATTATTATGATAAATAAAAATAAAGTCAACCAAACAATTAGTACATAATTAAGGACATAAAATGTCAATGGATTCAGTGATAGAAATATTAAAACATATAATAAGCAAACAATAGGTGTACCGAAAAATAGCCAAACGGTTAGCAAAAATTTTGACCAATAAGTGTGGTTATAGTCGTAGATATCGGCAATCAATTTGTCCAATGATTTCATTAAATTATTGATACGTTTAGTAGTATTACTACTATTATGTTTAGTAGTAGTTATGGTTAGTTGTCGTATATGTCGATAGATTTCCCGGTATCGGAGCTTAAGATACAGTATATAAAAATAGATGACTTGAAATATTAATAGATTATATAGATAATAGATAACCAAGGTACTAAATATAATATTGGGTATACCATAGATTATGGTATAGATTATGGGTATATTCACTAAATAGGTTACTAACGATACTAATATCGAAACTATTGGTATTATATAGTTATTATTGAATTCAAAACCTATACATAATCGGCGCAACCGTTTGGTTAGCTTCTGGATGTCCTCGGGATCGGTTAGACCGACCGACAGGGGTGTCCGTCCCGGCAAACCGGACATCATTTCAAATACACGTAAAAATTCAGGTTTAATACCCATCAGGTAGTTGTATGTATAGATTAATTCAAATACAATAGAGATTAGTATCATAAATGGTGAATAAATTTTCAATATACCTAACCTCCAAAAGTATTCCCTATCGCCTAACTGTGCAAATAGTAGCCAATTATTTTCATCAATAAACAACAAACACACTATACGTTCAATAAAATAAATCAATGAAACAATTAATATAATTATCGGTCGATTAAACCATAGTCTCTTTGGTTGTTGAGGACAACCATTACAATCATCGGCTACTAATCGATGGTTACTTAAGCCGATTCGGTATAAATGATAGGCCGACCACTTGTATACCTGATTTTCGGGTAATAAATGTTTAGCTGAATATTTGGACGACATATTTACAAAAAAAAATAACTATTTATAAGTATATTATAATAATAAATAATATTATTATTTAAGTATAATAATGTTTTTTTAAAATCATATTAAATCATAAATAATATATTTTTATTATTTTGTTTTATTATTATTATTAGTCAATTAAGTTAATTTATGTGTCATTTATATAATAATATATTTTATAAATACATTTATATTATTTCGTAAAATATAATTTATTTTATTTGAAAATATTTTTTATTTTATATGATTGATATATTTATAAATTATAAATAATTTTTATTTTTATATTTTATTTAATTGCATTAAATATTAGTATTTTAATAATATAATTAATAATATTAGAGATGCCATCAAAAAAAACAAAATACAATTAATCTTTTATAATATATATATAATTATAATAACATTTGAATATATTTCCATTAATAATAAAAAAAATTACATTTTTTTATTTAAATATATTTGTTTTAAATACTAACTTTTATCTTAAAAAATTAATGATTATTATTATTATTATTATTAAAGATATATTACAAAAGTAATTATGAAATTATTATTCAAATATTAAAAATACAAACAATATATAAACTATTTTTTTAAAATCATAATAAATTGCAAACTATTAATATTAATATATATTTAAATCTATATATATTTCAAATTAAAAAAATATTCATAAATATTATGAACTTTGATAAAAATAATAAAAAATATTTAATAACTTTTTTTTTGTTAATTATAAGTTTTTAATAATATTTTTAAATAGATTTATGTATAGTGTATTAAATTAAAAATTATTATTATTATTAGTATTTTATTTATTCAAGTAAATTAATTTTATGAATATTTGAAAATAAATTACTAATTATTAGTATTAGTATAGCTATAAAAAAAATTGAAAAAAATATTATTAATAAATTAAATTATAATTGTTTAGCATTTTATATGTTTTATCCGTACAATAGTTAACCGATGCAGCGGTTAGTATAATAAATAAAAATACAGTCAACCATACAATTAGACCGTAAATAAATGCCAATAATATTATGGGATTTAATGATACAAATATTATACAATAGATTATTAGGACAATAGCTGTACCGAAAAATAGCCAAATGGTTAGCAAAAATTTTGACCAATAAGTACGGTTATAATCCGAGATATCGGCAAACAATTTGTCCATAGATTTCATGATATTATTGATACGTTTAGTAGTATTACTACTAATAGTATGTTTAGTAGTTAGTTGTCGTAATTGTCTATAGATTTCAAGGTATCGGTGCTTTAGATACCGACACAGTATATAAAAATAGATCAATTGATAGGTTATGATATTCCATAGATAATATATAACCAAGGTTATAAATATAGTATTAGGTATACCATATACCAGGGCATAGACTATGGGTATATTCAATAAATATGTCAATTGTGTCGATACTATAGACAGTACGGGCAGTATATAGTGATTGTTAAACTGAATCCTACGGCACAGCCATTGCATCCGTTGGGTAAGCTTCTGGATCTCCAGGCGATCGGTTAGACCGACCGACAGGGGTGTCCGCAAACCGGACATCATTTCAAATACCAGTAAAAATCGAGGTTTTATACCAATTAGATAGTTATATGTATAGATTAGTTCAAAAATTAGTAACATTAATATCATTAGTGGTGAAAATATTTTCAATACCCCTAACCGCCAAAAGTATTCCCTATCGCCTAACAGTGCAATCAATAGCCAATTGTTTGGATCATTGATGATAAATAACAAACAGATTAGACGTTCAATAATATAAATCATTGATACAGTGATTATAATAACGGGTCGATTAAACCATAGTCTCTGTTGTTGAGGACAACAATCATCGGCGACGCCAACTAATTGATGGTTACTTAAGCCGATTCGGTATAAATGATAGGCCGACCACTTGTATACCATATTTTCGGGCAATAATTTTTTAGCTGAATATTCCGACATATTTTCTATATATATGCTAACAATTTTATATATTTTTTTAAAAAATAGTATATTATTTAAATATAATAATAATTATAATAATACTAATATGTTTTCAGACAACAATAATAAAATATTTTTTAATTTATCATAAATTATATTAGACATTTTTTTATATATAAAAAATTATTTTTTATCATTTTGATTAATTATTATTTTATGTTTTAAAAATATATGTGTATACCAAAAATAAAAATAAAATTTATTTTATTTAAAAATATCATTAATATATTTTTGTTATTTAGTTATTTTTAATTGCATAAAACTAAAATCATTAATTAAACAAAAATTAGTAATTTATATTTAATTAACAATATATATATATATACAGTATTATACAGTATTAACAAACAAACAAAAATAACTAATTTTATTTGAAAATTGTAGTAATTATTTAAAAATTATATATATTTATATATTACAACAAAATATATTTATTATATTATAATATTAATTCATTTATTACTTAACAGTTTTACAGAAATAAATCTTGAATATGTATTTATATATTAGAAAAATAATTAATTTAAAAACATTTAATTTTAAATATATAAATCATTATTAAATAGTATAAATTGATTGAAAGTATAGCCAAAAAAACATAAAACAGTAAATTAAAAATTATATTATAAATATAACACATGATAAAAAAAAGTAATACTACTAATAATACTAATAAAATTGTTTATATAAAATACGAGTAATTTATTTTAATAATTTTACAATTAATAGAAAATAATAGTTTATTTTTAAAAAAAAAAACTTGCATTTATAATAAACAAACAAAAATCAATAAATTTTATTTAAACATATAATTGTATAATATTTTACAGGATTTATCGACACTTGAGTTAACCGATGCGGCCGTTAATATAATAAATAAAAATTCAATAAACCATACGATTAGGGCATAAGTAAAGATTAGTTGAGGTATGATTGCCATTGATTGGAAAAATATTAACATATATAACATAAATACAATAGACGTACCAATTGATAGCCAAACGTATAGTAAAAATTTTGACCAATAAGTCTGGTTATAATCGGAGATATCGGCAAACAATTTGTCCATTAGTTTCATAATCAGTTGAATACGTTTATTGGTGTTAATAGTTGTTTGTTGTTTAGTTGCTATAATTAGTTGTCGTCGTCTGAATTGCCTATTGATATCCCGGTGCCGGAGCTTTAGATACCGGCACAGTATATAAAAATAGATCATCTGATAGGGTATTAGATTCCAGAAATAATAGGCTACCAGTGTTGTCATCAGGGTATTGGGTATACCATATAGTAGGGTATAAACTATGGGTATATTCAATAGATAACCTAAAAATAGTACTATGGAGGCAAACAATGGTATTATATAATCGGCATTTAGTTGACATAACCAACACAACCAACGCATATGTTTGATAAGCTTCTGGATGTCCCGGGGATTACCGGTTAGACCTACACTCCCGGGTGTCCGCAAACCGGACATCATTTCAAATACACGTAAAAATTTCGGATCAATACCTTGGATATAGTTATATGAATAGGTTATGACTGATATGATTACAAACGAAATTTGAAACAAAAACGATATATTGATATAGATATTAAAATGCCATAAATATATCCAATCGCCTAACAGTGCAAACAGTTGCCAATCATTATCTGAATTATTGTTTAACAATAATAAACAGATTAGACGTTCAATAATATAAACAATTTCGACAATTAGTATACAAATCGGTCGATTAAACCATAGTCTCTGTTGAGGACAACAATCATCGCCGACGCCAACTAATCGATGGTTACTTAAGCCGATTCGGTATAAATGATAGGCCGACCACTTGTATCCCATAATGTCGGGTAATAACTTGTTTGCCGAAAATTTAGACATTTTTTTGTTTTGTTTTTTGTTATGTTTTATATACGTATATATATATATTTATAACTAAAAAAATAATAATAATATTACATTTGAAATATGCACTAAATACTTATTAATTTGTATTTATATAAATGTATTTTATATATACTGTATATATTATAAATCATAATTTATAATAAATTAAATTAGGTTAATGATTACAAAATAGATATATATATATATATATATATATATAGTAATTATATAAAATTAATGATTATATTTTTTTTTGAATAACAAATTTATATATAATATATAAATATATAATGATTTGTCTATTATTTAAATTATTATTATTATAAGACATTATTAATATTATAAATTATATCATTAATTATTAATGATCTACTGGTTTGATTGCAAATAAATATTTTATTTTAAATATACTATTAGGAAATAATAATTAAATAATGACTTTTATTAGTTTTCATTAAATTTTCATCAAAAAATACTACTGAAACTGTAAATTAGAGACTGAAAACTGACCTGATTTTTCAGGTCAGGTCAGGTCAGGTAAAAGTTAGGGCTCAGGTCAGGTCAGGTACGGGTCCGAACACCAAAATTTTTTGGTCAGGTCAGGTCAGGTCCGAAAATTTTTTATTCATTATTTAAACGACAATTATTACAAAATATGACAATCAAACACAAAATTTATTAAATTATTATTTATGAAATATTTGTATAAATTAAACATAAAATATTACAAAAGATAATGGTTTGATCTAATAAATAATAACATATTAACTTTATTAGTATCTAAGTTAGATCTACGATCAGTTATCGTTAATCCCGAGTAATTAAAGTTAATTTAGACATATTTGTTGCGGGTATAGTATGAATAAAATTGTTTTTTGATAAAATTATTTTCGGACCTACATAGTCAGGTCAGGTCAGGTCAGGTAAATTTGTACCCTATGTTAGGTCAGGTCCGAGTCCGAGATTTTAGGTATCAGATCAGGTACGGGTCAGGTACGGGTCCGAAACTTTTCGCTCTCTACTGTAAATATTTAATAAACTATAAAAAGTTATATATATATAGTTGAATTTTTTTTAATCAAATAAGTTGCGGCATTATCACAGATTTTTTTGTTGTTGTATTATTTATAGTGTTATTATTAATTATTTATCTTAATATACTGTCTAATGTATAATGGATTTTATTTTTTTTAAATGATAATTTTATTAGTCTATTGTTCATAATATTTATTTTATTATTATTATTATTAGATTTATTATTAAGTTATAGTATAAAATTAATACTATGTGCGCGCGTGTGTATGTGTATGTGTATGTGTATGTGTATGTGTATGTGTATGTGTATGTGTATGTGTATGTGTATGTGTATGTGTATGTGTATGTGTACGTGTATGTGTATGTGTATGTGTATGTGTATGTGTATGTGTATGTGTATGTGTATGTGTATGTGTATGTGTATGTGTATGTGTATGTGTATGTGTATGTGTATGTGTATGTGTATGTGTATGTGTATGTGTATGTGTATGTGTATGTGTATGTGTATGTGTATGTGTATGTGTATGTGTATGTGTATGTGTATGTGTATGTGTATGTGTATGTGTATGTGTATGTGTATGTGTATGTGTATGTGTATGTGTATGTGTATGTGTATGTGTATGTGTATGTGTATGTGTATGTGTATGTGTATGTGTATGTGTACGTGTATGTGTATGTGTATGTGTATGTGTATGTGTATGTGTGTAAAATTACATCCTGTATTTATTAATTACTTAACATTATTTTTATAATAATCATTAATAAAAAAAACATAAAAATAAAATTATTTATATATAATATTTAATTATCATTTAAAATCACAAAATATAATTAACTTTTAATTATTACATATCATATAAATAACAGATAAATATAATAATAATACAGTATATTATAAAAATTATATACATTTTTTTATTTTATAGCCTACTTATCGGTTGCTATATCATCATTGGCGGCACCATTATCTAAAACTACCGGTGCTTTTTGCGGCTGATGATCATTCGGGACATAATAGTAGGCCATCACAGCAAACACCAGCATATCGGCGACCATTAAACCGGCAAAAAAGAAAAACTCATAGGACTGGTAGTCAAAGATTTTGGCCGACGCTATAATCACAACAATTAGGTCACCAAAAGCAACGGTCAATAGCCAGGCGGCCATAATAACGGCTTTCATTGATACCGGTGCCTGATTATAGCTAAACTCATTGCCGGTAATTGAAAACATAATCTCCCCGACAGTTATCAATGAATATTGGATTATCATCCAAAACATTGACATTGAATTATGACGGACTACCGGATATGATCGGGTAGTATAGACTCCCTGTCCATAATTACCGGTTACTACCGTTACATAACTACCGCCCTGTTTGATAGCCATATCAGTTAGTAGTGTCAATGGTTTATCATCTGAATGGACAGTCATCTCTAGTTTATAGCCATCATCTGAACTACAGTCCAGCTCTTTCTTGTCGTTATACGGGGTATAACCGGCCAAACCGTTAGTTATGGTGTCGCTACCCGTGGTTGAGGACGTATTGACTATATCAACATCGGTAACCTGTACTTCAACTACCTGTTCAAAACCGTTGCCACCAGTTGTCTTGAATTTAAACACCGGTAGATTAAATACATGATCAGGTGGTATGGGATAGTTGTCTAGATTGAAGACAACTGCACCGTAAGCACCGCCTTTAGTCGGTTTAGTTAGTACATCAAACTCATACAATGGTTCAATAACACCACCACCTGTACCATCGGCACCGGTATCTAGTTTTGAACATATATTTTCAGTCAATATAAATAGGCTACCCGTTGACAATGGCCTGTCCACAATGGCCACAAACCAGTCCCTGTTGTCGGTTAGATGTTTGCGACATACTTGAGGTGCACCCGATTGATCGGTAAATGTTATATTTAATCGGAGATTTAGATTAAACTGATCTAAACGGACATTTTCTACGACTACCAGTTCATCGACGGGTAGCCGAAGCTGTCCGATCAGCGGGTGATCAACTTGGACGGGTGTCCGCAAACCGTTAACTAGGGTTAAGTGGGCCGAGTTGTCCAGGATTAGTGGCGGCAGATCCCGCTCGATGGACAACTGAAACACGGCGCATACGACAAAACTCAAAGCGGTAACCATACCGCCGGCAAATATACGCTGAAGGGGTTTCCTCAGTAGTCGGCATCTGGCCAGTAGCGGGTAGACGGCATAATCAAATACGGGTATAAATAGGATGATTAGTATTGGATTGACAATACCGATTTGGTCGGGTTTCAGCCGATACAGTTGACCTAGAGAACCGTCCATTTGACTGGCCATCAGTGTCCAGCGGGAACCTTGCTGGTCAAATAGTGCCCATAGTAACGGCAGCGGTAAATACAGGAACAGTACACGCATTAGTACTTTAATATCGGCCAATGTTTGCCTATCGTATCGGTCGTCGGCATAGTCCAGCCAATGATCACGTTTGGCTACCGATCGGAAACATTTACGCCATAGGGCCAGCCCAACACATTTGACTACCTGGCCTATGATATTGGGTCGTTTAGGCGGTACCATACGATAGCCGGTAACAAATCGGCCCACAATGAACAAGGCCAGAGCTACCAGCATCAGTATGGCCGGGACACCGAAAGCTAGCGGGAAACAGGTATCTTCGCCCATACACTGGACATCCTCCCGGAGGACAGGTGTTACCGCATAGGATATCAAACTGCCGGCATTGATGCTGATATAGAAAAACGAAAAATATCGCCGAAGATGATGTTGTTGACTATCGCCGTCAAACTGGTCGCCACCAAATGCGGATACACACGGCTTAATACCTCCAGTACCCAATGCAATGGCTACTAGTCCTATCCAGGTTACCGGTAGTGATTTGAGGCCAGCAGCAACCGATAGTAGTATATTGCCGCATGCGTAGAGTATGGACAGGTAGAAAATGGTATTGAATTTACCGATATATGAGTCGGCTATTATGGCACCGAGCACAGGGGTAAAATAGCATAGCATCATAAATACATGATAGTAGGTAGTGGCATCGGTGGCCGAGTAGTGTAGCTGATCCCTGAAGTATAGGACCAGGATGGCACGGGCACCGTAGTAGGAGAAGCGTTCGCAAAATTCATTACTTATGATGAAGGCGATTGAACGGGGATAGCGGCCACCATTAGTGACAGTAGTTTTAGCTACAGGTGCCGACTCCAGTGTTGTTGATGTGGTGTCCAGTGATATGTCTTGTAGTTTATTATTATTATTATTATTATTATTATTATTATTATTATTTAACTCATTGTCCATATCATTGGTGGTGTTGGTAGGGTTTGTCGACTTTTTTTGGACAGTCATTATGTTATTATTATTATTATTATTATTATTATTAATGTTTGTTTAGTTAATGTCACAATAATTATATTGTAATAATAATAATAATAACTATGATTTTTAAAAAATTTACAATAAATTTTGTGTGATTTTGAATTTGTTGTATATATAAAATAATTATTTTTAAAAAAATTGAAATTATAAACTTTATTATAACATTTTTTTATTATTATTTATGTTATTGTGATTTTAACAATTTTTTTAGTTAATTAATATAATAAACTTTCTATGTGTGTGTGTGTGTGTGTGTGTGTAAATGTGTGCTTATGTATGTATGTATGTATGTATCTGTGTATGTATCTGTGTATGTGTGTGTATGTGTGTGTATGTGTGTGTATGTGTATGTATGTGTGTGTATGTGTTATGTATGTGTGTGTAGTGTGTGTGTGTGTGTGTGTGTGCGTGCGTGTGTCTCTATGTGTGTGTTAATGTGAACTACTTTACTATCTTTTTAAATTAATTTATTGAAGTATTATAATATATATATATATATATATCTATATATATATATATATATATACGGTATACCGTATATATATATCAATAAACTTGTGCCTAAAATCTAATTTAGTTAGAAATAATAAAATTTCAAAAATAAACTTTGTCACTTAGTTTATTGTACTGTATATAATAAATTTATATTACTTTTTTAAAAATATATATTTTTCTTGTTGTTAAAACATTTTATAGTAAAGTCTAATTTAGTAACCGATAAAATAAAATTATATATAATATTATATATAATAATAATAATGATAAAATTCAATATTAAATAAACTTGAACTAAATTATAGTCATTAAATGTGTACTTAAATAAAATAATATGATATTAAAAAATTATATATTTTATAAAAATTTATTTATTTATAATGAAATGCAACTAATCTAAATTGTATCTAATAATAATAATAAAAATAATAATAATAAAAGTTTATAAATTGTACAATTATAATTTAATTTAATTGTTTTAAAATTTATATAAAATTGTATTAAAATTTTTTAAAAAAATATATTCTAGCTAAAATGATTTTTAATTAAAATATTTTTAATTAATTGTTTTTTTGTGTTTTTGCTGATAATTATAACTTTTTATACTATATATTGTATAAAATAAGTAAAAAAATAGTAAATTAGTTGAAATTTGAATAGTATTTTACATTTTAATTAGTATATATTTTATAAAATATTTAAAATAAATTCTAACTAGTAATACAATTAATTGTATTTACATACAAAAAATAATTTATTATTATGTTTAGTAATAAATACTATCATTTATATTATTTTTAAATATTTTTTTTAATGACTATATTTTATTGTTAATTATAATTTTTTTTTTATAAAAAAACATGACTTATTATTATGTTTATTACTTAATACAATCATTAATATTATTACTTTAAAATATTTTTTTGACTATAATTAATTGCTAATTATATTTTTAAAAAATAAATTATTTTTGTGTTTACTATTTTAATATTATTGTTAATTATCTTATTATTCTTAAACCATATTTTTTTATTTGTAAATTATAGAGAGTTTTATAATAAATTTCTACATTTTAACATTATAATTATTATAAGTAAATATAATTAATACACAATTTTTTTATTAAAAAAATAGTATTAAAAAAAATATAAATGGAAATTATATTAAAATTAATATATAAAATATGATATATTTTTTTAAAAAAATATATAAGTATTAATGTTAGAATTATAAAAATAAAATTCAAAAATAAAATATATTATTTTTTATTAAATATATTTATTATTAATTATTTAACCAAAATTTAAACCAAAATTTAAACCAAATTAAATTATATATTTAAAAAACAAACCAATAAATATTATTAATAATAATTTAAATAATAATTATATAATAAATTTAATGATTTATTAGTAACTGTTGTGACCGATGCCGCTGTCATTATAATAAACAAAAATACTTGAAACGATAACAATAGACAATAGCTGAACAATAATTTAATTAAAATATCATCTATTGATTGAAATGTGATAATATATAATACAAATACATTAACTGAGCCCATAGTTAGCCAAATATATAGTAAAAATTTTGACCAATAAGTGCGGTTATAATCATCGATATCGACAAACAATTTGTCCATTGATTTCATAATACGTTTAATACGTTTACTTATTATTATTGATTGGCGTTTATTATTATTAGTAGCAGCTATTAAATAGTTTGTTAATTGTATTAATTTCCTATTAATTTCAAACTGCCGGTGCTTTAAATATCGACACATTATATAAAAATATATTAACTGATAGAGCATTATATTTGATAAATATTGAACCCATAGGGAAAATACCAATGTATTTGGTATACCATATAGTAGGGCATCACTGAGTGTCGGTATATTTATCATATAATTTAATTGTATTACTACTAAACCAATCACAGGTACTAAATATTTGATATGATATCTACAGTATAGACATAACCAGCGCATCCGTTTGATAAGCTTCTGGATCTCCTGGGAATCACCGGTTAGACCGACCGACAGGGGTGTCCGTAAACCGGACATCATTTCAAATACCCGTAAAAATTTAGGTTCAATACCCCGGATATAGTTATATGAATAGGTTATTACTGATAGTATTATTAACAATGAATACAATGGACAGCATATATCCGATAGGAACGGTATGTTCAGAAAGTATCCCCAATCGCCTAACAGTGCAAATAGTAGCCAATTGTTTGGATCATTGGTTGTGATAAACAATAAACAACTGATTCGTTCAATAATATAAACTAAACAAACAATTAGTATAATTATCGGTCGATTAAACCATAGTCTCTTTGGTTGAGGACAACAATCATCGGCGACGCCAACTAATCGATGGTTACTTAAGCCGATTCGGTATAAATGATAGGCCGACCACTTGTATACCATATTTGTCGGCAATAATTTTTTGGCTGAAAATTCAGACATTTTTTTGTTAAACAAAAAATAATAATAAATATTTATATAATATATAATTAGTTTATTAGTTATTTTTAAGTTTTATCGATAAATTTATATTTATATATAGTATTGAAATTGTTTTATTATTTTTAGTCATATATCAGTATTTATTAAATATGAAATATTTTTTAAAAACAAATATTGTTATTAATAGTTATATAAAATAATTAATGGCATTTTTTATTTTATATAAAAAAATATGATTTATTATTATGTTTTTGTTTTACTTTTTTACTATCATTAATAATTTGTATTATAGAAATTTAGTCTATATTTAATTGCTAATTATAATGATATATATATTTAATCTAATTTTTTATTTTATTTTTTTAGTATATATATTATGATTTTTTCATCATTAATTTTCTCATTAATAATTTTTGCAATAATTATGCTGCCATTTATATTTTTATTTAAATATATATATAGCATAAAATAATTTAAATTATAATTATATCTATGATAATACAAATCATTAATAATCTAATAATAATTATTTTTTTGTGTATTACTATATTTAATTACATAAATTATTATGACTTTTATTATGACTAAATAACAAAAAATAAATATTTTATTTTTTAATTGTATGAAAAAATCAAATAATTTATTATCATTTGCACTATTTATAAACTTTAAAAAAATCTTATACCATATATATATATAAACATATATTTAATTGTTAATTTTAATGATTTTTTAAATTTTTATTTTTTAGTAGAAAATTTTTATATTTAAAATATATATTTAATAACTAAAAATGCAATAAATTTAGTGTCTATTAAAATATATTTTTATTAATACCTGAAATTTATTGATCCAAAAAAACTATATTATATATATATTTAATTTTTCATATGTATACAATAAAATTAGTACTAAAATAAAAAAAAATTAGTAAACAAAATAAATACTGTAATAATAATATAAAAAATAAATTAATGTTTGTTAATCATATTGAAATTATTTTATTTTATTTATTTATTTTTATTTTTTTTAATAAAATGTATGCTATTATGAAAATATTAAACAACAAACAAAATTAAAATTTTTATATATATATTAATACAGAAATAATATAATAAATAATTTTGTTGAAGTATTTAATTTTAATTAATTTTAGGTAATATTTACGATAATTGAGTTAATATTAAAGGAAAAACATTAATTAAAAATCTAATTAAATATTTTAAATTAATACGAGAATAATTATTTAGATTTAGTAAAAAAATATTAAATAATAAAATTAGTCACCGAAAAAAAATTAATAATATTTTTAAAAAAAATTATAATAATTTTATTAATTTATATAATAATTTTAATGATCTATTAAAACAATAGTTAACCGATGCAGCCGTTAGTATAATAAACAAAAATTCAATTAACCATAAAATAAAACAATATAGTAATACTAGTTTGGGTATGAAATCAATTGTTACAAACAGTAAGGCATACAAAACAAATACATTAGACGTTCCCAGTGTTAGCCAAATATATAGTAAAAACTTTGACCAATACGTCAGGTTATAGTCCGATATATCGGCAAACAATTTGTCCATTAATTTCATTAGATTTTCAATACGATTAGTAGTAGTAGTAGTAGTAGTAGTAGTAATTGTCTGGCATTTAATCAATTGTTTAAATTGTTTATCAATTTTATTTGATTTTAATTTAATATACAGGCATAGTATATAAAAATAGACCAATTGAAATGTTAAACAATTCCATAGATAATAAATACCCAGGGTAACAAACAGTGTATTAGGTATACCATATACCAGTGTATAATACCAGGGTAAATATATTATAAAAATTAAATATATAACTAGACCGCAGGCCAGTGCTATATAAGTACAATTGTATTGACAAAACATTGATAACCAGCGCATCCATTTGACGAGCTTCTGGACGTCCAGGGGATCGGTTAGACCAACCGACTGGGGTGTCCACCG